TGGAGGGCCCGGACCTTTAGCCTTGGTGAACTCTGGATGCTTCATGTCAGAATCTAAGCGAGACGCACTGGATAAACGGTTGGTGCTGGGGACTTGGAGAAGCGGTTGTTGGGGTGGAGAAACCCCACACGCTTGGTGTCAGGAGTGTTCCGTGGGTAGAAACTGACCCTAGCAGGTAGTATAACCTGCGGTCGGTCCCATTACCATGAGGCTGTAGAGAAGACAAGCGGCAGGGCCCGCAAGCACGTCGGCAGCACCTGGGGGAAGGGAAGGAGTTCTTGAGGGCGAGAGAGAACTTTCAGGGCAATACAAATGCCCCATGCCTTGACTGTGGTAGTCATGGCTACATGCGAGCACATACATGTGTCGATAGATTGTACAGTACAAGTGGTTTTAAAAAATTTTCATTAGCATTTGGATCACAATTCCTAAAGACACTCATGAAAGAGGACTTACAGAACTGCTTCGGAAAGTGGCAACAGGGATGGGCTAAGTGTGTTCAAAGCGAGGGAGCGTATTCTGAGGGGAATTTAATGGCAATGTGCCTTTTACTGTAATGAATTTGTTATCTTAAATACATACTGTAGTTTTTCATCGTCTCTTTAAGTGTATTCTCTTGAATCTGGTTCCTCTCAGGCCCTTAGGCACCGCTCTCGTGGTGGGTTTTGATAGTTGGTGGTGTCAGTGAACCTCCTGGGCTCGCAGAGGGTACAGCTGACCACGCAATGTGGGCTGCTTTTGAGCGTTTCTCCTGGGCCTCCGGGACAAGGCCTGGCTCTCCAGCAGGGTGGCGGCAGCCCCCAGGACACATTGTTGGCCCGGCGAGCCCCTACCTGGCATCCTCACGGCGCCCCTCAGCCGGGGTTCTGGGGCTCGAGTCCACCAGGAGGAGCCCAGGAAGAGCAGCCACGGTGGGGGCAGGGACTGAGTGGCGGTGGGAGGGGGCGGCCCCCCGCTGCAGAAGCAAAACCCAGGGTCCTAAGCTGTACCTGAGCAGAAAGACGCACAGACATCAAGACCAACCATAGCCACCTCCTGCTCTTTCTTCAAAATAGATTTGCTTGGATTTTTTTTTTTTCTGTTTTCCAAAATTTCTGCCATGTGGATATTTCCTTTAAAATCAGACCCTCTGAAAAAGTTTTCGATGTTTTACACACAGGACGACAGGGAAGAGAAAAGTCCTTTTCATTGTTCACATCTCTGGGAAAGAACAGCTCCTAGGAAACAGGATGGAGATGGGTAGTTGCAATCTTTAATTTTCAGTTAGAAGTCTGTCTGTCTCACACGGTACACTTGCCCCACCCCACAACGAGGTCAGTGCAACACAGAGCATTCAGATGCAGCCTCAAAGGGAGTGAGTGCTCGTTTCAGTACTTTTCATAAAACAGAAAGGACTTCCTTCGACCAGCTTTTGGCACAGATGCTATCCAAGTGTGCCTCTCCTTGTGCCACCAGGGTGGCACCACCCTCCAGCCCCCTGCAACCTTCAGTCCCTGTGTCCCCCTCCCACCCCTGAGCCTGGCAGCAGGAAGTGCCATTGAGCACCAAAGCCACCCAGAGAAAAGCGCCACCAGCACTGAGGACCCCTGAGAAGGAAAGTCCACCAATCAACTAGGGTCTGTCTATCCCGGACTCTCCCACTGCACCCACCCACTACCAAGCCACAGCTACCAGGCCTGGTTCTCAGCTTCTTTCTAAATATTCGCTATTGTCATCTCTTGGGGCATCACTTTGACCGTGAACCCTGGAAGCCACAGAGCCAGGACGTGGCTCTTGGAGCCCTTCTCTAGCCCCTGTTTCTCGCGTGACCCCCGAGGAGGCTCTGATGGCTGTGATGGTGCTCCTGTCCCTTCCTGGAGCTCAGAGCCCTGTTGAACTTGAGCCTCTGAGCTCCTGACACATCTGGGGCCAGGGCTCGTTCTCCTAATGACAAAATTGCCAGGGAGATGCAGGCCAGCTGCAAAGCGCCAAGGTCCTTAGATGGCACTGCTGTGCAGGTGTGGGGTGGGGGAGGCTTTCGTGCCCAGACAGAAGAGTCAGTGGGCTCCACGGGGGAGGAGAGAAGAGTCCCTTCTAGGCCATTTCACTCTTTTTCAAGCATGGAAAGGCTAAGAGGGCATTTCACGGGCTGAGCACGGGCCCGGGATTTGGTGCTCTCAGCCCCCACACCGGAGTGTCAGGGTGAAACCTTCACCATCATCCGAAAAGGAGGCGTGTGAGACGTGATCTTTTGTCACGAGATGGAGTATCTGATATGAACCATGGCAAACACCGTAATGACTAATTTTAAACATTTATTACAATTCTTGAGAGACTTGAAAGCTGTCCCCGCTCTTGATTTTAATAAATGCAGTCTTGAAGCAGCCGCTTATCAAAGTGACACAAATTGTGTGGTGAATAGATTACGGCACAGCTGAAATACTGGAAAATGAGATCAGAAAGGCTCCTTTTCTCCCATTTAAACCTCTCCTCGATCCTTCAGCCCTCACTGCAGCAGCCAGGTGGCTGTGAGGAGCGAGGAGCTAGGAAAGGGCACCAACCCAATCTCAGACATTCCCAGCAAGGAACCTGCGGCCAGGGGCTGAGGCCAGAGTGCCCGGGGTGCCAGGGGTGGGAAGGGCAGATGGGTCAGGGGGCTGAAGCGGGAAGGGTGGCATCGACCCCTCCCCAGGCGTCTTCGGTTTCTAAAACAGGCTCAACCTGGGAGGATCCACTGGACCCGAGTTTGGAGGCTCCTAGACTGAGTCTGTGTCTACATCACACTCTCGCCTCCTCTGGGCAGCATGCTGGGGCCGGGCACTCATCAGGTAAGAGAGGCAGGTGTCCTCCAAGGGCCCCCGGGCCGGCAGGCCCACGCACGCAGTGATACAAGCCCCAGGGAACACAGAACTGCTGCACCTGCCTGGATGTGCGGCTGCACGGGGGGGAGAGATCTGGGCAGCGGCCCCTGCTGAGCTGGACATTCCTTGGCCAGGTGGTCTGCAAGCCTGGACCACGACTCAGTCTTTCCCAGGGTTCGAGGCACCACGTCCTCTGAAGACAGAATGAGCAGCAGACAAAGTCCCGTGCAGCGTCCAGAAAGAGCAAGGAAGTGGGAGACACTTTCCCCTGTTCGCTTTAACCCTCAGACAAGGGCTGCCTGGGAGCTGTCAGGTACCCACAGGACTCGCCCACTCCAGATGGCCCGTCCTACATGCGCGACGGGGTTGGAATCACTCCTGTGGCTGTGGCTTGGGTGTCCCTGAGACAAGGGAAATGTGTCACCCCTGGGGAGACACAGGGGGCAGCTTCACCACCAGAATGCGTTAGTGTGGCTACTTCTGGGAGCAGGTGCTTCTCGGGGACTTCCTCCTCGGAAGTACAGAGACAGCATGGCGTCCCTGTCCTGTGTAAGAGGACGCATGCTGTATAGCGATGCCAATTAATATTCAGATAAAATGTACAGTGTGTCTATCTCCCCATAAGAAGCCCTCCCCCCTTTTTTGGAGACAGGATCTCACCCTATAATCCGGGCCAGCCTTGAACTCAGGATCCTCCTTCTTCGGCCTCTTGAGTGCTGGGATTGCAGACATCCATGACCACACCCGGCTGAGAAGCCTTATTCTCCAGACAGCCTTCTCTCTTCCCTGCCCAGGCGGGAGGCCGCCCCCGGTGGATTTGTAAGTTGGCAGTGCTATATGGCTAGACAGTGACTCATCTTCCAGCCCAGACACCTCGACTGAGTCTTTGTCCCCTGCAGCTCATCTTGGTGACGTGGACATCCACGGGGCTGTTGTCATTTGCAGAGAACAGGGACTGAGGCTTTGTGGAGAACACGCTCAGGTTCTGACGACTCTGAGGAGTAATTCCTGTTGTATTTTTTAAAGATAGCATTGAATCAAGCAATTAAATCATTTATAATTTAAATCCAAGCTAATAGGTATTAAATTTTATTATTTATGAAATGTTAATCATTCATTAGGTTTTTCAAGTTAAACATCAAACCTCTAACAAATTAAATTTAAATAATTAAGTCTATTATTAGTGGAAAGAGACTGCCAAGATGACAGTGGGAGGAAATGCATTCCAGAAACTATTTTTTTTTTCTAGTCAAAAGAGCACAAGACCTTATTAACTGCATTGTACCCATAGGGAAAGAAACACTTGTGGAGATCAAAAGACGTGGCCTTGAACACACAGCAAATACACTTCTGAGGTGGGATTTAACCCCACAGGTGTTAATTTAAGATCGAATCCACTATTTAGAATCCACAAAACACGTTTGCTCTTCGTGGTGGGAGAACAGAATGACTCCTCAGGCCAGCGGTCAGGTGCAGGATGAGTCCCTTTCATTGGAGGACAGGACTGAGGAAGAAAGGCACTGCCTAGACAGCGCCCCCAAGTGGGGGTCCTGCAGGGGAACACTTGGGCACCCAGGGGGAGCAGAGTGTGCTGTATCAGTCACTGGGACAGAATCCCTAACGTCAGAAGTTTAAAGGAAGAGAGGTTTACGTCGACTCTGGACTCGGAGAGGTGAACAGGCTGGAGTATTTTTCCCTGAAGCAGTCCATTTGGTTGGCTTCCCTACCCCGACTGCATTGCCCGTGCCTGTTAGTCGTGGTGGGATAGGTGTGAACAGCAGCCCCCAACACATACCTTCTACACGCTGCCCTCTTTGGCCTCCTGGTCCCAATTTTTGCTGGACGAGCACCCAGCTGGACCGTGCCACACCCCAGCCTCGCCACGCTGCATTTTGATGATTTCACATTTGTTTCTCTCCTCCAGTATAGGGATTCCTTTCGGTAGCTGAGGAGTGTATTTTATCCTTCCCTACTGCCAAATCAATACTGGATTATGATTTGAGGACAGAGGATGAAAGTTCAGCCTCCTGCCAGTGAACAGGCGTGAGACACGCATGGCCCTGGGGGAGAGGAGGGATTTGTGAAGTCACAAGCAATTACCCGCCAAGAGGATGTGGAGCCCTCCTTGCTGCCCTGTTCAGAACTGACAGCCAAGGCAAAATATCTTGATTCCAGTGAAGCCAGTTTAGCTACCCAAGTCCAGCCAGCTCTGGACCCAGCTCTCAGACTCGTGGACCAGCCCTGATGCCTGCAGCCTCTCCTGGAGATGCCGGGGGCCCCAGCTGAGTGAGCACCCTTGTCCCCAGAGACCGAGGCTGTCTCATTTCTGTCCCCTGTCTCTCAGATGGAACAGCTCCTTGCCAGGTTCCTGGAGCAGCCGGCCCGGCCTTCCTCCCTTCCACCTGCTGAACTTGCCTACCTCTCTCACCTTTCACCTGTCCTGCCAGCCGGTAGGATGTGGGTCTCCCTGGCAAAGGCTGCTCTTGTGTTTGTTCTACTCGCAGGTCCCTGTAGCCAGCCCAACAGCACACTGGTAAGCTGAGGGAGGGCCAGCACACCCAAGACAACTCAGCTCCTGCAGTGGTGGGGTGGAGTCCCCAAAAGATGCAGGGGGTGATCAAAATGCATGGTGAATGTGTACATTTACAAAAATTTATAAAAGTAAAAGACATGTTGCCATGAATCCACCTCTAAAACATTCCCCCTTGATTCAAACGCACTTATTGTCACGTTCTTGTGACTTTCTGAAGCAGTTCTAGAAGTCTGTTTTCATGCGCATCTTTGCAAGGTATAATCAAAAATGCGCTGGATGCATGGAAAGACAGGCTCATAAAAGCATGATGCCGTGCTCTCACCCACCTTACTCACTGGGTCTGGCACCATGGGACTTTGGGTCTTCCTCAAAGTCAAAATGACCACAAAAGAAAAACATTTTAAATCCATTCACGACATCAAGGCAGCCAGAACAGTGCAACTAAAGACACTCACAAAAGAGGGGTTCTGGAAGTGCTTCGGAATGTGGCAAGAATGATGGAGTAAGTGTGTTCAAAGTGAAGAGGGGCGTCTTCGTTACTTTCCTCGTTACTGAGGCAAAATATTTGACACCCAAATTTAAAGGAGGAAAGGGTTGATTGACCCACAGTTCATAAAGGCTTCAGTCCGTAGTCAGCTGGTGCGGCAGGGGGACATCGCAGAGGAGAAACAGTTCATGGCAGGCAGAAGGTGCTAAGCCACCAGTGAGCTACAAACAGCTCTCGACAAATCTCTTTCTGTACCTTATATTTTTATCCAGGCTGCCCACTCACCCTTAATCCTAGCATTACATCCCTGATCCCAGCATCACACACCCTAGATCCAGCCACTCCTGAAAAGCCCCACTTATGACCGCATGAGACTTTGCAGAGCCGTCTAGACGCAAGCTATAACAAGGAGTGTTTGGAGGGGGCTTGGAAAGCCAATGTGTCTTTTACTGTAACACATTCTTTAAAAATGAGAAGAAGTAAACATTCCCCCAAATTTTTAATCATACTATATATGTGTGTACCTAGAACCTTATTTGGAAAAGGGGCCTTTGCAGTATAGTTAATTAGGATCTGGGGAGAGGTGGATTATCTGTTTGGGTCTTTGATCTAACAACAGGGTCCCTACAAGAAAAGCAGAAGGGGATTGCAGACTCAGACCCAGATGAGAAGACCACGTGAAGGCGGAGGCTGACACTACAGTGATGTGCTCACAAACCAAAGAATGCCCACGCACCTGGCATCTGGAAGCAACAAGGCAGGAGCCTCACAGCCTCCGGAGGGAGTGTGGCCCTGCAGACACCGTGATTCCAGATTCTGGCGCCTAAAAGAACGGAGTAGTAAATCTGGGTTATTTTAAGCCACACAGGGTTTGGGAGTGTGGGACAGCAGCCCAGAGGAGCACAGGTCACTCACGGGGCTCACACCCTTCATCTCTGTGTGGATCCTCTGGGGACCATTTTGCAGTCCCCGCCCCTGTCTTTCCCAGCCTCCTGGCCTTTGCACATGCTGTGCCCATCTCCAGAACAGTTCTCCACTTCTTTTCCCATGCAGCCCAGCCTGGCGCCTCTACATCAAACTCCGCAAAGACCCCACAGCACATCGACGCTAAAGGGCATTTTTTTTTTCCACATTGTGGCATCTCTTAAGTATACGTGTCTTACAATGAGCGGTCATTGTTTTTAATGATCGACGCCTTATTCTTTCTTGATTGCCCCATAAAGTAAGATCGCATCCTGTACCAGGCTGCATCAGAGTCTCTGAGATGGAGAACACGATAGCCAAAGGCTCGTTCTTTTCTAAGGACACTGGGAGGCACCAGCCTGCATTTGAAGCCTGATTCCTCCATTCTCTGAAGTGAAGACAGACTTCAGGTCTCCCCTGCCTCCTGGTAGAGGGGACGTTATCTGTCAAAGCTCATAGAAATGTGCACCTTAGAGGAGTGAATTTTATACCTCAATAAATATGATTTAAAAAGAAAAGATCTGAATTAAAGGGAGTGATTCCATGTTTTGCGTAGGGTAACTTACAACCAAGATATCACCTGAGCAACTTAGAGAGACCCTGCCTCAAAATAAAGTGTGAAAAAGGGCTGGGAACCTAGCTCAGTGCAAAAGCCTAGCTAGGTTCAATGCCCAGGACGACCAATAGAAAAAATTTACCAACTTAATCTAAAAATTGATACAGATTAATAGACTATGTTAGTAACCTATATTAACATATAAATGTATATATTAGATTATGTCCATATTAATTCTACTTTGTGATGTATTTACTATATTACGTTGCAATATCAATATATTACAAAGTGATCGAAATGTATTATAAATCCAATGCAATCTATTCAGAATTCTATTTGAACTTTTTGGGGCAGAAACGTGATAAGATAATCATTGTGAAATTTATACAGAAAAATGAAAAAAAGCACGGTCAGTAACCACAAAAAAAACGAAGCTGCGGGGGCCTCGCTGCTCTGGCAGTGCAGCCAGGGGGCCGTGGGAAGGACCAGTGGCAGAGCTCCGGGCTCACAGGGGGCCCACCTCCACGTGATGACTGACAATGACCGAAAAGGAGAGGTCACTGGCGTAGGAGCTCATTGCCTCTAAGGTTCGCTTTTTTCTGCCTTTTGCACAGTGCTGAGCCGGGATGGTGTCCTGCCAGCCGGGCAAGGAACCGCGGAGGCCCTGCTGCCTGGCCACCTGCAAACAGCAGCAGCGCCCGCGTGCGCAAAAATCCAGGGGTGCCGGGGAGCACGGGAAGAAAAGCCTGGCCGCAGTCCTGGAGAGCTAATTCTGCTGAGAAATGCTACATGACAAATGCTTTTAACGACCCAGAGGACCACGTTGTGTTCACAGCCCCCAGCGTGAGGGAGGAGCAGCGTCAGGAATATCTGTACTCTTTCTTTTGTTCCTGTTGTCCTTTTTATGTCTGCAGAGGAGTTATGTGTATATTAAAAAAAAAAAAAAAACTGGCGCATCTAAATAATTCTAAAAGAGTTCTTTGACTACACACAAAATGAAATTTCCAAGCAATGAAAACGTCAGTGCTAAAACAAACCCCTAAGATCTAGTTCTCTTGAGGGTTATAACAAGAAGAAAATTGAGTCTCTCTCAAGGAAGGTGGGCTGGGAAGTCCAACGTCGTGATCCACTGGCACCCTTGGCGCGCTGCACTTCAAGAAAGAAAAGCAAGCAAACAAACAAGGTCCCTCCCTGGGTTTCAGTTTAGAGATCACTTCCGCAGCTGCAGGTGACAGCCAGTGTTCACTTGAGTCTCTGCTGGGGACCCTGCAACAAGCCACCGTCCCGACCTCGGGATCTTCCCTCCACCCCAGGTGGAGGAAATGGCGCAGGGTGATTAGTGCAGATGGAGGCCGGCAGGCAGTGGCCACCCGCCTGGAAGGGGAGTTCAAGGCAGGCCGCTGGGGGTGAGGGGACAAGCGAAGGGCTGGCGGGGAAAAGGGCCCTGAGTTTGCTCCGTGCACAGACCCAGCAGGTGCAGAAGCAGAACGTAGAGAAGGGAATGTGGGCCTGGCTCAAGGAAGGCTGGCTGGTGGGGAACCAGGAAGAGTACCAGCAACTGCTGTGGGGAGGTGGCCAGGACCTGGACCTTGCGCGCTGGACTGCAGAATTTATTTTTTTCCACAGACTTATTCAAATGTTATCCATTGTACCAGTTATGTGCTTTATGAACCTAGGGCTCAAGATCATTGTTGTGTTCACTTGTGTTACATCTTTTGTAAGGTATTAGCACGTCACATGTTTGCAATATATAATGATCACTTTCACTGGGGGCATTTGGTACACGTACAGGACACAGCTCAATCTTTTTTTTTAACCCCTTTCCCTCCCCATTTCTCCTGCCTCCAACACCTGGTTCCCTTCTGTTATGGCTGTGTCTAAGGTCCCCTAAAGCCTCCTGCAGTTGTAGGTGGGGCCTTTTCAGAGGTGGCTGAATCCAGAGTGTGTGAGCTGGGATTAATTCACGGTGCACTGCTAGGCTCAAGGGCACTAGGATTAGTGAGTGCTGCCCGCCCCAAGTCGCCCGGATGAGATACAAGGGACAGAAAGAGCTGCGGTCGTCCTTTGCTGGCTTTGCTGCCTTCTGCCCCCATGAACTGTTTCTTCTCTGTGACCCCCTCTGCCATGCCACCCTGCCTTGGAGCCAGCCGACTAGGGACTGAAACCTCTACAGACTGTGACCCAAATAAACCTTTCCTCCTTTAACTTTGGGGGTCAGGTATTTCATCCGAGCAAGAAGAAAAGTAAGACAACTTCCCATTTGCAAAAGATCTATCTCTCCATTTCTTTTTATCTATCTCTTTTTTTGCACTTTATGTATACTTTGGGCTTCTCACATGGGAGAAATCATAGGGTATTTGAGCTTATGTGTCTGACATTTTTCACTTAACAGTAGGTTTGCAAGTTGCATCCAGTTCCCTACAAGTGACTCACCTTTACCCTTCTGTACAGGTGAGTAGTACTCCATTGTGCATAGAGACCACATTTTCTTTACACGTTTGCCTGTTAATGGGCACCTAGGGTACTTCCGTGATTGAACTGTTATGGATTGAGCCGTTATACACATTGGTACATATGTATCTCTGGAACACATGTCTTTAACTCTTTCTGGAATATACCTAGTCAGAAAATAGCAGGGCTGAATGGAATTTCTGTTTTTAGTTGGAGGAATCCCATACCGATTTCTGTAAGGATTGTACTAGTTTGTATTCTCACTAACGATTTAGGAGTGTTCATTTTCACCACTACCTCACCCGCACTTGTTAATATTTGATTTCTTAATGCTGGCCATTCTTTCTGGAGTAAGATAGAAATCTCAGTGCTGCTTTCATTTGCATTTTTCTAATTGCCAGCAACGTTGAATCTTTTTTTTATGTACTTATGGACCTTTTCTGTTTCTTTTTCTGAGAAGGGAATTCCTCTTTGCTTCGGTGGTCCACTTTTTGGTTGTATCTTTTATTTTGTGCAACCCAAATTTCTCAAGCTCTTGATATATTCCAGATGTGAGCCCCAAGTGGACTAAGGAATTTAAACTCACCTGAAGGCTGTCTAGAGCTCCAAAGGACCAGATTCCCCAGCTAGGGGTGAGCTCCGGTCTCCAAGTGGAACACGGATGAGAGAAAGCTTTAAGGTAGGGAGACGAGTAGAGATGTTATTGCAAAAACCCAAATGAGCTCAAGAAAGATGCTGATGAGAAAATATCCCCCAGCATCACCAACTGATGGCTCTTGGTGACCTCGGTCAGCCCGGGTGATCAGCTGGCATGAACAGAATGCCCCATCCAGCAACAGAATGCACATTTTTAAGTGTCCAAAGAACATTTACTAAAGTAGACCTGGGCTATAAAACACACCTCAGCACATGTAAAAGAATCAAAATCATAAAGAAGGCGTTCTCCAACCAAAATGGAACCCAGCTAGAAAGAAGTTGCAGAGGGTAACAGGAAAATCCCCACACACGGGGAAACAGCACTCTCCTGTGATCAAAGATACAACCTCAAGGGGAAAAGCTGCCGTTGGACTGAGAATAAAAGAACACAAATACAAAACGTCAGGGGCACTGCTGACTCAGTGCTCAGGGGGATTGCACAGCAGGGTCACGCACCCGAAAAGATGTGCCTGAACACTCCCCTCCGTGGCCTAGAAGAAGAAGAGCAAATCAAACCCAAAGCAAGCAGCAGGAGAGAGATAATAAGGGCAGGAGCAGAACTCAATGAAGTTGAAAACAGAAAAAACAAAACGACATTTTTGAAACAAAGGGCTGTCTCTTTGAAAGGCCAGTAAAACTGAGGAGTTTCTAGCCAGACTGACAGAAAAGAGAGAAAAGACTCAAAGCATCAATACCAAGAATGGAAAAATGATTTTCACTGCAGACATCAAAAGAATAAGTGAGATTGCACCAGAGAAGATATGCGAATGACCAATGAGCCCCTGAAACAGAAATCACCGTCACCAATCACGAGGGAAATGTAAATCCCAAGCACAATGGGATACTACAAGAGGCGACTGAAAAATGCTTAAATTACAAAAGTGTATCACAGTAAAAGACACGTGCCCTTAACCCCCCTCAAAATCCTCCTCCTCACCTCAGACACACCGATGCCATCATTTTTGCTGCTTTCTGAAGCAGGTCTGGAAGTCCTCTTTTGAGAGCGTCTCTCGTTGCGCCGTTGTGGTTGCCTATGATGTCCCGAATGGATCCAAAATGCCTCCCTTTAGAGTCACTTTGACTTTGAGGAAGAGGCAGAAGTCCTGTGGTGCCAAAGCCAGTGTTTAGGGGCAGGAGGACACACCGGGGTGTTTTCACAAGCCTGCCTTTCCGCTGTACAGCGCTCAGCCTCAGCATTCACTGTGTTTGATCGTAATTCATCAGACACGAGAGACGACTTCAGAACTGCTTCGGAAAGCGGTAGGAACAAGGGCGTAAGTGTATGAAGCCGCAGGGAGTATTTTGAGGTGGATTAATGTCAGTGTGGCTTTTCCCGTAATAACTTTTTTAGAATTTCACTATTCACCATATCATCTCGATCGGACTTTGTACCTCACGGTCATTAGGATGGCTTTCTTAAATGAACAAAAATAAAATGTCAAGCGTTGGCA